GTATTTTTTGAGTTGTTGATAATTGCCATTCTGACTGGAGTTAAGTGGTATCTCAGTGTGGTTTTGATTTGCATCTCCCTGATGATTAGTGAGGTTGAACATTTCTTCATGTGTTTGTTGGCTACTCAGATGTCCTCTTTTGTGAAATGTCTGTTCATATCTTTTGCCCATTTGATAATGGAGTTGTTTGTTTTTGTCTTTTCAGCACGTTTTAGTTCCTTGTAGATCCAGGATGTTAAGCCTTTGTCAGACCTGGAGTTGGCAAATACTTTTTCCCAGTCTGTAGGCTGTCTCCCTGCTTTCTTGATGGTTTCTTTGGCGTTGCAGAGGCTTGTCAGTTTAATAAGGTCCCTCTTGTCTATCTTCTCTCTTATGACCTGTAGGTTTCGGGTTCTGTTCAGGAATTGGATGTCACTTCCGATTTCCATGAGGATATGTCCTTCATTTTCTAAGGATCTTATGATTTGAGGTTTTACATTGAGGTCTCTGATCCATTTGGAGTTAACCTGTGTGCATGGGGATAGATAGGGGTCCTATTTCAATCTTCTGCATGTGGTCAGCCAATTTTCCCAGCACCATTTACTGAATAGGTTCTCCTCTCCCCATTGGTAGGTGTTGGAGGCCTTGTCGAAGATGAGTTGGTTGAGAAATTGAGGTTTTGCTTCTGGAATCTCAATTCTGTTCCATTGATCTATATGCCTGTTCCTGTACCTATACCAAGCTGTTTTGATAGTTGTAGCTTTATAGTAATGTTTGAAGTCTGGTATTGTGATACAACCTGCTTTGTTTTTTTTGCTGAGGATTGTTCTGACTATTCTTGGACGTTTGTGTTTCCATATAAATTCCTGTGTTGTCTTTTCTTAGAAACTTTTTAAAGTGCTTAAGATTTCACCTGCAAATCCAACATGAAGAAAACCTCAACGCCCCATTCTAAAAAGAAAAAAGGACCATTCCCATTTTAGTAATATTTCTGTTCTTCAGACAATTTGGATAATTAACACATTAATTTTTATCTTTAAAAATTATTTTCTCCAATGGAGTTAAGCTTCAGTGAATGATTTACTTCAAGTATAAGTATGCCAAATGCTTTTCAAAATGTAAGACTTCTCTTGTACTTTAAAATAAATAATGAAAACGAATCTTGCTGAATACGTAAATCCGACTGACTTACAATAATTCTGATGCGTATTATTCTGGTTGAGAATAAATGACAGTTTTTGGCAAACTGCCTCTGATGAGGACAATCTCCTCTTCCTGTGCGTTTCTAAAACTTGTGATGCAAAAGCTCCCGCCCTTTTCTGGGAACACAGAGAGCCTGACTCAGGCGCTGCTGCTATTAGAACAGCTCCAGCCCTGCAACTCCCTGCTGGGGTGAGTTCCGCAGAGATGAAGCAAGCAAACTGGTGCTGGCTGGGCTCAGCGTTCCTCGCCACTTACAGCTTTTTGGTTGTGGCAAACAATGAAACAGAGGAAATTAGAGATGAAACAGCAAGGGACGCCTGCCCGGTGAGACTAGAAAGCCGAGGGAAATGCGATGAGGGAGGAGAGTGCCCCTACCAGGTGAACCTGCCCCCGCTGACTATTCAGCTCCCAAAGCAGTTCGGCAGGATCGAGGAGGTCTTCAAAGAAGTCCAGGATCTCAAGGAAATCATAAATAGTCTAAAGCAGTCTTGCCAAGACTGCAAACTGCAGGCTGACGACAACCGGGTCCCAGGCAGAAACGGACCGCTGTTGCCCAGCACGGGAACCCCGGGAGAGACTGGCGACAACAGAGTTAGGGAATTAGAGAGCGAGGTCAACAAGCTGTCTTCAGAACTCAAGAATGCAAAAGAGGAAATCGACGTACTTCACGGCCGCCTGGAGAAGCTGAATCTTGTCAATATGAACAACGTAGAAAATTATGTTGATAGCAAAGTAGCAAATCTAACATTTGTCATCAATAGTTTGGATGGCAAGTGTTCAAAGTGTCCCAGCCAAGAACAAATAGACTCACGTCCGGGTATGTATAATAATGTTTTCTTATCATTTGTTCATAAATGTTATATGGTTAAACAGTATCTATAAAAACATTAACAAATAAGTTAATAAGTTAAATAGATGACATACTAAAGAAATAAGTCCTTTATTTATCAAGGTGTACAGGAAGAATAATTATCTTCTCAACTGTGACCATAGAAATGATATGAACTAATTACAAAAATCATAATTCATTCTGTATCCATTAGAAAACACTTTCAGTTTTAAGATTTTATTTGTGAACACACAGGCAGACATAAAATTTCTTAACGTTTTAGTGTATTTAGCTCATTTATCTCTATTCTATTGTTTGAAAACAATAAAGGTAATGTTTGCAACTGTGCTTTTTTCATTGGAAATCAGTTTTTCTTGTGGTCAGCTGACAGCCACTTCAAAGAAAAGAAGTCTTTGAAAGAATTTAGCAAGTAATCTGGAGTTTATAATCCCAAATATCTAGAGAAAATGGGAGATTTTATAGATAGAATAAAAGCAGCTTCTTATGTGTGTGTGTAAAGTTTTTTTCTCTGAGGCCCCGATGGCACAAAAATGTATTAAAGGGAGAGTTTTGGCATGCCACTTAAGGAAGGAATACATTCTTATCTCTCTCTTTTACCATAAACTAGAATTCAAGCATGTAAAAATATAACCCATCCTCACCACCCAAATTACTTGAACTAACTTTAATACATATATGTGAAAGACCACATATATTTATGTGCCTGTTCTACCCACCAATTTACAGTGGCATTGGTTCCCTCAAACTCTGGCTTTCCACCTGAGTTCCTGGGGCCACTGCTGCTGACAGTCTTGTCACTTTGGAAAGCCATCGCTACATTAGGACCACTATCTACCACGAGTGCGAAGTTGAAGGGACATGGTAGAGATCACTTTATTTGGAACAAGTACCTCAGGTATGTTCCATCGAGGGCATTCGTCAGACAAGGTGAGTCATGGTTTCAATGACCACTGTTGTTAATACCTCTGGCAGCCTGTACCTGAGTGTGTCTTTTTCACTGCAAATCAGAGGTTCACGTCTTAGGTGACGTCACTGGGTGCACATTAGATTTGATGCTGCATGGCAGCTTGTAAGATATGAACACTTTTCTATTGTCTTTTTTTCTAAAAGGTTTGAGGAAATAACTGATTTTTTTGGGTTTTAAATATACATGGATAGTTTTTTTGTGCCTTAGAGTATCTTATATTAAACTTACATCACCTGTTACAAATTTTAATAAACACTATCTGGGAGTAAATATCTGCCTTTGATTCCTACAGAACCCCGTTGACTGATTATTACACTTATCCTGAATATAATTACCTGTCATTTCTTTCTAGAAGCCACACATGTGAGATAGTAGCTAAATACTTTCCTGGATAATAAATTCAGAATAAGAATGTTGGTATATTACTGAGAAAAGATTTCTTTATCACTTGAGCTTCTTTATGTAGTTGTCAAATAAAATAAATGTGAACTTTTGATCAATGCTGTACACTAGAATTTCAATGATCATTTGGAACATACTCTATAAAACTTCCTGACAGTAGAGGTTAACAGCCCCTTTAGGTAACAGGAAATGCAAGCCTATGCTTCCTCTATGTGCATGGAACACAGTTCTAGGAGAGTTGGAATCATCTGAATTTTAGGACAAAGGAATGCAATAGTTATAAGGACAAGCTTTGCTGTCAGCCAGATCTGAGTTTGTGTCTTGGCTCTGCCACTTAATTCTTGCGGGAACTTGGGCAAACCACTGATCCTCTTTTTAAGCCTAAATAGTCCCACCCGCAGACTGCAAAAATACCTATATCATAAGGTTGACGTGCAGATGAAGTGTGAAAATGTTAACCAGTCTTTGGCAGACTGCCTAGAATATACATGTAGGACTCACTAAATATTACTGAGTTACTAAAACTATACTTTTATTATTTTCCTATTGTTTGCTGCTGCTGCTGTAACTTTTATTACCAACCAAGAAAATATTAGAAGGCTTGACTGCTTTATTACGTCAGGTTCTTGTTCTGAGGCCTTAACAAGCATTTGCTAAATGTTTTCAAGTAAATTTAGCAGAAGAGGGTTTCATTATTGCCACTGATTGAATTGTCAAACTGGTTTTGTGTATATAAGAGAGTTCTTCAGGTGCATAGTTTCTGTTAACAAAATCCAATGCCTTTCTTTTCTTCCCCCTTCAGTTCAACATCTTATATATAAAGATTGCTCTGACTACTATGCAATAGGCAGAAGAAGCAGTGAGACCTACCGAGTTACACCTGATCCCAAAAATAGTAGCTTTGACGTTTACTGTGACATGGAGACCATGGGAGGAGGCTGGACAGTGCTGCAGGCACGTCTTGATGGCAGCACCAACTTCACCAGAACGTGGCAAGAATACAAAGCAGGCTTTGGAAACCTCAGAAGAGAATTTTGGCTCGGGAATGATAAAATCCATCTTCTGACCAAGAGTAAGGAAATGATTCTGAGAATTGATCTTGAAGACTTTAATGGTATCAAACTATATGCCTTGTATGATCAGTTTTACGTGGCTAACGAGTTTCTCAAGTACCGTTTACACATTGGTAACTATAATGGCACAGCTGGAGATGCCTTACATTTCAGTAAACATTACAACCATGACCTGAAGTTTTTCACCACCCCAGATAAAGACAATGATCGATATCCTTCTGGGAACTGTGGGCTCTATTATAGTTCAGGCTGGTGGTTTGATGCATGTCTCTCTGCAAATTTAAATGGCAAATATTATCACCAAAAATACAAGGGTGTCCGTAATGGGATTTTCTGGGGCACCTGGCCTGGTATGAGTGAGGCACACCCTGGTGGCTACAAGTTCTCCTTCAAAGAGGCCAAAATGATGATTAGACCCAAGCACTTTAAGCCATAAATCAGTAATGCTCATCCCTCCAGGTATTAATTATCTAGGCAATTAATTCCTTCAGGACTTTGGAATTTGCCTTGTTTTATATTCCTTTTCCATGGCTAAAAGAATTACCTCTGAGCAGTAGGTTTCTATGCTATACAGCATTTGAAATAAATAATGCCATTTTAAATGAGTCTTTTGTTGCTGTCAGGCTATTTTCTAATGCTTGCAAACAATTGGAAATATTGAAAATTATACATTAGGTTAATAATTCTTTTAATTTCTATTAGTTAAAAAGTTTTGTACTACTTGGATTACTTACTAAAATTAAAAACAATTATTTATTCAGCAGGCTAGATTCTATATGAGTAATCTGTATTTTGGCTGTGACAAGCACAGCTGAAGATATCTCACTCTTTTCAGGCTGCCGTTATTTGGGTAGTCTTCATTCTGAGATAAGCTTACCCAATTTATGGTATTTACTTTGAATCAGGAAGACCCTACAGCCTTTAAGTTCCCAGTCTAAGGAAAATAATATGTATAATTAAATCTGTTATTGCATTATTCATAAAATATATATTATTCTTGCAACGTACTTAAAATATTTTAAAATGTGGTAGCATAAGGTCACCCCTAAAAGCATCAGAAATATAATATATCCTTAAAGACAATGCTTTAAAGGTAATTCATTAATGGTTTGTAACTCCTTAGATGTTTGATATAGAAAACTGTTTTAATGTGAAAATTTTCTTCTTCTGCTCTGTATGAAAATAGTTTTTAAGGATGTTCATTACTGTGCTGGACTACTGGTTGGCTTTCTTTTGAGGGGGTAGGTGTGAGTGCAGAAGGAAGCATTTATTTATAGGCTATAATATTCTGAAAGCCAATTTTATATTCAAAGCAATAATACCATTAAGTGAGTCACTTCATAGAATGCTAAGTTTTCTAGCACAAAGAGATACATTTATTAAAAGCATGTGAATTTTGAAGTATATAAAAAAGTAGTTCAAATATTATATATTTCAAACCTAACTGGTGGCTTGCTTTTTTACTATCAGAAATTCAAAAATAGGTGTTTATTTTTTTAACCAAACAAAAGTATCTGTAACTTTTATAATACATTTGTTAATTCTGTAATTCTAAGTTTCATATTAAAAAGATTATAAAAAATTGTGTTTAATTTCATCATTGTAAAAAAGTATCATTTCAGAGAGAACAGCAGTATTCTGCATGTTTACAAAATGGTCTGGAGTAAAATTTGGTGTAATTCACTGTATTGTATATGAGTCATAGCAATAAATTTGTTCTTTAATTTCTGGTGTCTATACCTAATACACTAAACTAGTTTTTAAAATATATTTACAAAGATGCATCTTTACTCATTATTTGAAAACAAGGAGGGAAATTTCTTCGAGTCAATTTTTCAAATATTAAACCCTTATAAAATTTATTTTTCAAATATTAAATTCTTATAAAAATTGTAATAAAAAGAAGCAAAATACTCCTTTAAAAACATATAACACATACAGTTTTCAGGTAAACATATGGAAATTAAGTTATTACAAACACTATTAAAATAATGCAAGAGAAATGCAAAATATAATTAAATGGTGATTAAAATATAAAATGCTGTAGATTCTAAAAGCTATGTACTATTAGGTGAGATAATAAAGATAAATGATGGATTGATTTTACTTCTTAGTTTTGCTTTTTAAAAAGACTAAAAAAAATTTTGACATTATACAATGTATTTGCTTCAGATAAGGGCATTTTCATTTACTATATATAATTATTAATATATGTATAAGAGTAAGTAAATTTCTATGATCAAAAATGAACTTACAAAATATAGTCCTAAAACAAAAATATATACTCATATACAGAGTGTTCATTGATTTAATAGGAATTAGGTATACTTTCCAGAGAATTTGGCAAATAATTCATATAAATATTCAAAAGTGTGTTGTTTTATCTTTCTACTTTACCTCAAAGGATCAACATTTAATTTTTCATTATACATTTATGGTACTTTTCTAATTTTGTAACATACAAATTCCTTTTTGAAAGCATTTCTTGTTACTCATTATAAAATAGAATCTAGTTTTTGATAATATTTAGCATGTTGATGGAAATAGATTATACCTAAGATAGCTTTTGCCTTAACATAACTATTTAGTAATATATACTAATGTTCATAAATGTGAATTGACTATTTACAAACATATCAGAGTTTTGTCTTGGTTCCATTTTGATGGCTAATATTTATTTATTATTTTAATTAAGACTTTTGTTTTTGAATATTATCATTCTTTGAAAATATTGACTGGGTCAATAATTAGGTCCTTAGAGATTCCAGGTAAAGCTGATTTAGCTACCACTGAGGAAAAAAAAACAAACACACTTTACTGATGACTAGCAATGCTCCAAATGAATTCATGACACATCTATTTAATAAATAAAGAGTTTGAATATATAAAACATAAGAAATATCTTAGCCACAAAATTATTTTTGAATAGCTACTCAAGAAAAAGTTTTAAAACTAAAAGTGATGGGTCGTTACAATAAGCTCTTGTCTAAAATTCTTTTATGTATAATTAGGTTTATGTTACATGTCTTCTTAAAACCTTGTAAAATAAAAGATTTAATCTTCACATCTATTTATTCTTCCTTGTAGAAACATTAAGTATTATTGTTTGTAAAAGAATATTTATGTATTTAGTCATGTCTGAAAATTGTATGTTTACTTAATCTAGACAATGTCTTTGACTCTTCGAAGACTTTAATGAGTACTGTTTCATTAACTGGAAGACAGAAAATAGAGGAACACCATTATCTTATTTCCCTCCAGAATGCTGTTGGAGCATTTGAAATACGAAAGTTTCAGTTTCATTTTGTGGCATTCAACTCCATCTCCTCTTTCCCCATCATTATTGTTGCTGCTCTGGTTCAGCCCTCATCCTCTCCTTCAGATACTGCAAATACCTAATAGCCTGTGCCTCGAGTTTCAGTCTATTCCAGTCCATCTTTCATATCACTGCTGGAGGATTATTCAAAAATACAATTATGATCATATTATTGCCTTGCTTCAAACTTGCAACAACTCTTTATTTTCTATAACACAAAATCTGGCCAATAAACCCTTCATGAACTGATGTGTCACCACTCACACACCTGCCATACTAAATGCCCTACTGTGCTCAAACCATGTTTTCTCCTGTTGTCCCTACTTCGCATATACTGCTCCTTTGTTCTAGACAGAGTTCCATTCTCTGTCCCACTGGATTTTAGCTTATCACCCATGATTAAGAGCAGGATTCAGGAGCCATGCTTCCTAGGTTTTAATTTCAGCCCTGCTATTTGCAGTCTGTATGATCATGGGCAAGTCACTTAATTTTCTTTGGTTCCTTCAATTATAAGACAGGGATAATAATAAAATCTGCCCAATAGAGTTATTGAGAAGATTAAATGAGGTAATTTATGTAAGGCGTCTAGAACATACATTTAAAAAAATCTCTCTCCTCCTTCCTCTCCTCATCCTCCTTCCCTTCTTCCTCCTCTTCCTCTTCCTCCTTCTCCTCAATAGTTACTTCTTCTAGGTGATGACTACTCTCCTGATGACATTAGGTGGAGTTTGGCATCTCTCCTCTTTAGTCCTATGCCATCCTGTATATTCCTTATTATACATTGCATTATTAAAAAATTGTCTAGGTTTTACCCTGGACAATAATTGAATTCAATCTGTTTCGGTAGGAATCAAGGAGATTTGAGACATGAGCGTTGTTACTCAAAGTAGTTAATACTATGATGCCAAAGAGGAAGAGCTGTAGTCTAAAGAAGCCAGAGTTATAACTGGGAAGGGAGTAGGAACACTCAAATCTGAGGATTTGAGAGATTGTGAATATGGGTGAGAAGCAATTGAATCCAGGGGAGAATATGGCAAAAGAAAGAATCAGATACAGTAAGTCCTCACATAATATTGTTGATAGGTCCTTGGAAACTGCAACTTTAAACAAAATGATATTCTCTATAGCAAAACCAATATTACCATAGGCTAATTAATATAACGAGTTAAGTTCCTATGGCATTCAGTATGTCATTTTCAAACCTATTCATGAAATTAAATGAAGACTGGGGATATAACAGTGACAAATTTTTAGGAGAAGTTCTGGGAATGTGCCTGTGGGTACATGCTGTCCTAGGCCAAACAGTAACTGTTCTACCTGTAGGAGTTGCTTAAAAAAAACATTATTTTTTATACTACTTATAGTATATTGTAATTTTAATATAATTTTAATAATTCAAAATCCATGAATCCTTTAATTTTTAAAAAAAATTATAGATTTGACTAAAGGTTTCTTTGCCAACCACCTTCAATTTCAATCTCTTCCTTCTTTCCAGAGATAACAAGCTGATTTCCAAACTCTAACTTCATTCTGTGCATTGCCAAATTGTAACATCTACTAAAACACAGACTTGCCAGGTCTTCTTTGTTTATTGATTTGAAAGAAGTGGAAATGAAGGGAATTGGGTGTACTTGGAAAACTCTGAGTACCCTGAATGACCGAGCCTCCCTTGCTCCTTGAAGTAGTCCCTCCCAAATGTTGATGAGGTGCTTGCTGGAAGACACTGTTGCTTTCTTTCCTGAGAGAATGCTACTAATTCTCCTTAAGTCTCCTTCATCCCACTAATCAGCATCTCCAGATCTGTAATCGGAGCATACCCCGACATCAATTATAAAGTCAAGTTGGAGAAGAAGCCTTTGTACAACTTTGCCAATTCATATCTGCAGAAGGCTGGGGAAGACATGTAGAGTCAGACTGAAGTTGCCTGACTAAAGAAGAAAAGACAGAAGTTTAGATGTGACTGAATTTGGCACAGGCATTCTGGATTACCCAGAAATTATGGATTCAGTAGGCTAGCTTGAGTAGACACGTTTGACTCTTCTTTTTTTTTAATCAGTATTTTTTATTATGATGTTGTGGGGTACAGTTAAGGGTTAGGTAAACAAATACGTTAAGGGTTAGGTATACAAATACGTACCCTGTTGATAAGAGGTATTTCCCCGTCCCCAGACAGATATTTGCTACCGTTAAACCCATCTCCCTCCCCCCCATAGTTTCCCACTACTGTCAGTCATTTTCATTTTATTTATTTATTTATTTATTTTTGAGTTG